TACACTAAGAGTGCGGCTTATTTATTACTTCTGACGCAGCGACTGCTTCATCCGCTACTCCGCCTGGAAGGCCAAGAGGCATCTATATATGCATGTACATAAGCACTATATGTATTTCGATTCGACCGACTTCAGTACTGGTATTGAAATTAAGCAAGCCAGAGTTTTACCCTAAAAATTAAGCGACGCACTTGTTTGGTCCATTGCTGTTGCCGACTGGTACAAGCCCGAATGGTGTGATTTTTACAGACTTGCAGACTCCGATTCGAACGTGTGAGTGTGTGTAGAGTGCATATATATTAATATTTATACATATGTAAATTCGCATATGTAAGAATACATATTAATTCATACTTAAATACATAAATACATGTACCATATAAATATATATACAGCGGCAAGTGTAGATTTTCTTAGCTGAACCTACAAAGCACGACACCGCGTCGCTACTGCCGCTATTAATAATACAAAATATATATATATATATATTATTCCATTACATACATAAAGACATATAGACAAGTGCATATATATCTGTACCAAATATTTCTATGTAAATAATTGTTACAAACTTTTCGTTTATCACTTTTTGTGCTCAGCAAGAACTCTGTTTGTTCTTGATTTTATTTTCATCAATGGATTATTAGACGGAGTTTTCGTAGCGCACTACCAAGAATGATAATAAAAAAATATAATCACACTAATCACATGCTTCTTATAGCTCTCATTTTAATTATAGAACAACTTCGCTGATAACCAAGAAAAAACTTTAACTTAAACTGCACCGAAGCTAACGCAGATATATGCTATAGTATTCCGATCTGAAGGCAAGGCAATAGTTGCATAGTAATCTACGTCAAATTTCGGGAAAACATTGTTACAAGTTCGCGTATATATAGAGAGACAGACAGACAGATGGACTTGGCTAAATCGACTCAGACACATGTTACACTAATCATTTACATATATACCTTTTAGGGTCTTCAATGCTTTCGGCTGGGTATTACAAACGCCATGGCAAACTTAGGGTACATAAGAATATATTTATTCACCATATGCGGTCATTTTAATTTGTTAGAGGAATATTCTCTTGAGAGAGCATACTCATATTCACAACTTAATGCATGTGCATAGTAATACCCTGTAGACGCACACAAGGTACATATTTAAATATGCTTTAAGTAAATAAAAATGAAAATACATACATATTGAAGTATACCCACATCTGTCGTTTTGCTCATTTATACCCTTAACAGTATAATTACTCGAGTACTCAAACAACAATTCACTTTCAGTAGCTGCATAAGTAATGGAAAATCCTAATCCTCTCACACCTTTCTTGAGTACTCACTTCACTAAGTGAAGCAATTAATGTAAAGATATTAAAAGGATATTATCTTAGCAGTTTTAGCTGCATATGTTTACTTTTTATCGAATTGTAGAAAGGAGAGTACTTTTTAATTTTAATAATATTTTCATATCCTAAAATTTTTATTGAGACTGTGATACCTGCGTATAAGTCTGACATCTTTGCTTTGTGCCAAAGCCATAGTTTACAATAAATCACTAGTCTTATGGAAAGGCTTGACGTAATATTTTTGGGGAAACTCCTTAATGGATCAGTTCTTCAAGTTCTTTTCTCTAATCTGAAGTTTAATTTAGTGTTCCTGATCGCTTGTAGAGGCAGGGAAGGCCTTTATTGTTAAAATCATGTAGATCATATTTTGAACTAAGCATTCCGCTCATATGAGTATGTCATGAGTTCAGGCCTCATTCGTTAACATTTGATTTATAAGATCAACATAAAAAACCCAAATATTTACACTTACTAGATAATATCATAAAAAAATTATTATGAGGTAATTTTAAAGCTTAGCTGTAGACATTTTTGTTTCTGTGGTCGAGAAGTTTTAAATATCGACGTTTAAAAACTTCCTCGAATTTTTTCGCCCTTTGCGTTGAATGTATGGTAGGAGGATAAAAGTCCAGGAAATTACTTCAGGCGTTGGCAAAATTTTATATTGAAGGAAGTATTGATCCGATTCAACCAATTTTTGACACAAAGACATACTATTATCGAGAGTTTCATTTATTTATTTTATTATATGTATTTCAATTATATATCTTACACATTGACCGATATTTTCGGTAAAAAGTCAACTATAGACATTGGGGACCACGTATTCAGTACCTAGGGGCTTGAACAGTTTTGGTTCGATTTAGATAATTTTTGGTCACAAGGTGACATACTTTAAACGCATTATTCACGCAAAGAGAGACGTCCTTCAGATTCAGCTGCCGTTGACTTATAGTTTTTGAAGTAAAGCGTTAGGCAAAATTGGTGTCCCAATTGTAAAAATACACGAAATAGCAGATTCGAAGGCCATTGGGATGGGGCTGGCGATTAGAAGTAGGTCTAGGCAATGTCAGCTCTGCCAGGGTGATCATATCCATGCTTAAAAAGCATGTGTCGGAAGGAACAATAATAGGCACCTTTCGGCTCATAAGTATTGAAAAGCCTTTCACAGTAATTGTGAAAAGTTCTATGTTGTAAAGTATGGAACGCAAACAAAGGAGTGGGTCCCAGTGACGCATCATAAAACGGGTTTTTATAAAGGATAGGTATAATAATCCTCAGAATTACACAGATATAATAGTAAAGTACTGTTGGAGATAAACCATAGCAGAAAACCCGATGCTTTCGTTAAACTTTTAGAGGCAAAAAGGATACATACAAACCGTAAACCCGTTTTTTTTTTTAAGTTGAATTGTTGTCTAACTTCAGGTTTTATGTGGTATTACGGTTTTTAATTTTGTGCTAGTTGGGTTAACTAGAATAACATTCCTGCGATTATTTAGGAAAATATTAATACAAAATGGAAAACGGGTAAATAAACTATTTTATTTATAATCTTAAACTATTTGAATCACTTTTTTGGTACAAATACTTAGAAAAGTGAAAAATTTATTCCGCTGGTGGCAAAAAAAATCCAAAACATAAAGAGATATGCTACAAATTGAAAAGACTAAAAATAATATTGAAAGACATTGGAAGTTTTTTGAACATAAATAGTCGATAATATCTACTATTAATAGGAATATACTTTTTGAGTAAAATTAAATAATTTTTGTGTTTTTTTTCCTCTTTAGTTGCTTGTGTTTTATCCACTGTACACAAATAGGCGTTCATAACATTAAAACCTCCTTAACAACGATTAATATCATAGTCTAAGCTAGCCGAAAGTTGAATTCATTTAAACTGCATTTTTGATAACTACCGTCAGCAAAGAAACGGAGAATTTCATTTAGTAAAAAAACCAACTGATTCCTCATTTAAACGAAAATTACTTATGAACCTACAAAAAAATGTATTTAAAAGCCAATTAATTAACAATAAAAACTTGGCTTACTTGGTGCTAAGAAGTTCCATATAATGCAATAACTCAATTGAATTGTTTTATTTTTCGTTTAAAAAATTTCAGATATTTAATGATATGTCAAATCTTCTATTTCTAGGTTGGCAATACATAGAAATAATTTAGTAAAGGGTGTTTAGATATAAAGGTACACAATTAAGTGAAGAACTCATTATAATTCGATAAATTAAATTTAAGAACTGTATTAACAAATATCTTAAAACTTATGTATGGAGAACCTCCTCAATCAAAACATGTACATCCAACCCTGAACTCGTTTATATTCTAAAAATTACCCATATATCTATTTTGTTAGCGACTGTCCTATTTTAGTGGGCAATTACGTTTTATTAATACACTGCTTTTGCCTACATCCCTTCGCTTTTGCGCTTACGTATTATTTGTGGGACTAGAATTCAAAATCCAAGTCGAAATGTATTTGTTCCATTCCGTTTATGGGATACAGCATTTAAAACCAAAACAAATATAAATTTGGGTTATGGAAATATGTAATTTCGTGCGAAAAGAAATAAATACTCGTATGTAAAGGATATAACATATATTTCAACGAATATTTATGTGGTTAGTTCGTTAATAGCTTAATTCCGAAAAAATCGACCAAAGACCATAGCGAATTGATGATTCTGAGCAATGCGGATTATAAACAGAAAGTTTTGTGTTGTTGATGTGACAATAGATGATCATTTCACTCCTAAATTCGATTGACAGTCATTCGAGAGTCATTTCACAAATATCACCTATGTGCACATAAAATAACTTGAATCTACTGTTTTGAAAAGGGTAGAACATCAACAGCGACAGGTATAGCGTTATATACATATTATAAAAATTATTCTATATGTATTTCCTCCTGATTTACGGTTATGTGTTTGTTATTCATTCTGTTTATTACTTGCAACGGAATAAAAGAAGTTGCAAATTTATACGAGAAATCGTGGATGATGCCCATATTTTTACTTTTTTAATCATTTTCGCACTGTAATTAAAAACTATGTTTAGAACTAGAAAAATTTCGATATTCTAAAGCAAATATGTAAAATTTGGAGGATAACTTCGAAAAACGGAGTAATTTCTTTTTAAATCATGACTCAATCTCTCGAAATACATTGGTTTGGTCCAATACCCATGTAGAATGGTTGCGAACATTAATATTCAAACATTTTGATTTTCAATGGAAAATTTAATTTAATTTCATTGAATTTTTAATTTGTAATTTTATTATTAAATTTTTATTTCTGATTTTGTAATTAAAATTTGATCAATTTGTTTTTTAATTTATAAATTAAAACATTTTTGATCAAAAATTGAGAAAATATTTTTAATTTATAAATTAGAGAAAAAAAAATAATGTTTCAAACTAATAGTTGGAATAAAGAGGAGTAAAAAGGGAAAGATTTACATATTCCTAACTGAAACAATATAATTAAAGGCTATTGAATATAAGTATTTTAATATTATTTTTAATTCGATTAATTAATGTTCAATATTATGCCAACATAAAAAAATCTGGTATTTTTTGCTTAAAAACATTTTTTTTACTTATGCGAGAAACTGTGCACCTACCGTCAATGTATCCAAATTCTGATGGTTTATAGAAGACCGCTTGGCCATAATTGTGCTACACCAGATGCACGACTACACTCATTTCTCCGGATTGACACGTCATTTACGTGGCAAGCAATCGACTATTTGACATTTAACACTGATGACACGAACAATTTAACGCGTTGATCGAAGAAGAAGATAAATACGAAGTGAAAATAACAGCGAAACTCGAAGCAGACGTTTACGGCGAAGAAAACTCTATTTTGCGAAATTAACGAAGGAATAGACACGTATATATTTGGTATTTTTGTTTGTAGCGAATCTCAAGCCATACAAAAATGACAAATTCAACTAAACGCCACTAAGCGCGTAAATGTTTACGTTTATATGTATGTACTGCAGATGTTACCGCAGCAATTGAAGATGTAAGTGCTTATATACGTAGTAGGCGGTAGGCGTGTGCAGTTGTTATTTACACAAGCTACGTAATGGACGATTTACACTAATTAGCTTCTGTTAATTTGTTGCTGTTGATGACTTGCAGCTATATTTCCCGTGCGTTAATGCCTATTTTTTGTTTAAGTGTTGTTTCTTATCGCCGTTGCATTGGTTATTATAGGTAAGATGAAACTTTTGGTTCGATGAATATACGGAATTTCTACCTTGTTGAATTTATTTACAATAACTTATTGCTTAAGCATTAATTATGTTGTATTATTATTAGTATTTATATCAGGTTTAGTTTAGTTTTTACTTTTGATTAATTTACTATTTCACTATATTAATATAATTCAATGCCACTATACGTCACCACTGTCGGCGGTAACCCAAGTTGAAGCTTACATTGACTTTCACCCGCTGATTTGTTTAATCTTTGTATTTAACATAAGTTGCAAACTCACAAATTTTCTGGTTATTTGCAAATTCAATGCGAGAGAAAATAAATCACAGAAATCACAGATTAATTAGAAAATTTTTATTTACACATATTTGGAATGTTGCTTTTCTTTTAATTTATTGCGGCTGAAAGTTGCTATATTTTTCAAATTCATTAGTAAACTTTAATTGCAATAAAATTTTTTGATCTACACGCTAAATTTTGCAATATTTATTTGTATATGTTTTTGCTTTTTAGGTAGTTTATAGTCGGCCTCAATTAGGCTAAGGTTGTTAGTTGTTGAATATTTACAGGAGTTGTTTGGTGATTATGATGAGTTGAGGTTTCATTTTACAGATGATAATTGCGACGATTTTGGCGATTTGCAAACATAAACACACGCACACACACTCACACCTACATACATTGGAGTATGTAGAGATATTGGAGCTTCATAATTTTTTTTATTTCACGCAATTTTTTAAATAATTTATTTTTTTTTATTGGGGAGGCAGTGGTGTGCGTGATACGCCTGGCTTTGATTTATTTATTTTATAAACAATTACTTGTATTTATTTTTGCACTTATTTTACTGTAAAAAATTTGAGTTTTCAACTTTTCTCTAACTGCTGCACGCTATTTTCAATTAATTCGGTGATTTCTGCTTCATGTATCTGTTTTCCACCACATTAAATCCTTCCCTTAGAAATATTAAAAAATAAGTATTGATAAACAATGAAGCAGTTTTTATTTTTAAAACACTCGTCTGTGCTCTGTGCGCTGACTAACTTCCTGATCTAATTGTGGGAAATATATTTCCTCACTTGCACAGCATCGACTTTTGGCAACGTTCGAATTTTTGAACCATTCAAAGTCTTTGTTCGTCCCTTTAAAATTTTTAGCAAATTTATATATTATATGTATGTACAGCGAAATCAAACTCCCCCCCGTGTCACCGTGACCAGCAGTGTCGTTAAGCTGTCATTGTTGAACTGCGAAGTTACGCAGTCGGCTGCGCTGCCATTAACGACAACGCATTCGCATTGTCTTCGTCATCACACAATTCGTCTTTATTTATATCTTCAGTTTTATGCTCACGTACACTTAAGCCAACACAATATATTATTTTCATTTATCACATCACCGATTCACACACACATTCGCTATGTGTTGGTTGGCTTTATTCACCATAACATTCCAGCGCTGTTATCGGCATTCCCTTAAACCTTCACCACATGTTTACTTCGTGCACGCATGCACTTGTAATCCAGTGTGTGAATAAGAGTTTCTATGCCAGCACGTGCGCAATCCTTCGTTAAGTTTTACTTCCTTTCGATTTACCACTTCCAGTCGTGTACTAAACTCTCTCACACATTTTCTGTGGCTGTGATGTCTCAACGCTCTATATGCTTCTTCTTCTTTACTTTATCCTCATTATTTTTTTTTTCGTCCGCCCGATATTAGTTGACATTTATTTATTTTTGGCAAAAATCAAGAATCACCCGACCAAGTGTATAAATATTATCATCCATCTATGCGGATATTCACATGTATCAGTGACAAGCAATTTCAGTAGAAAATACATTAATAAGCAGTTTAATTTATTAGAAAAATAGGCTAAATCGGAAGTCACCATTTTTGTTTCTTGATACGACGTTGCGTATGCGCGTGAACGTGCCAATCTTTGAGTTATTTTTTATATTCTTTTGGGTAAGAGCCTAAGATTCTAGATTCATCTATCGTCGATGATACTTCCATTTAAATGTATCGGTATTTATATTATTTGTCCACTGAGCTTGGAACTAAATTGTTATGGAGGAGAAGGTCAATGGTTTTTTAAGACGTTTCAATATTTATATTTATGTATATATGGATATTTTCTTCGGTCATAGTTTACTGCCAAAGCATTAGTATACAACTTTGTGAAGATCTGCAAAACTCAAAGCGGTATAAGTAAGAGTTACCCTAAAGAAAAAGCTTATAAAGGTCATAAAATCGATTGCCTACCAAGCAACCAAGCTAAGTCCCAATACTTCACATGATTAGCCTCACATACAGACACTTTTTTGATTTCCAGTGAGTGAAAAAATAAAGGCATCGCATTCCGATCTAGAAACGTCTCATTTAAGCAAGGATAAATAGAACTATTGGTGGCACATTCAAGATGTATCCGTAAACCCTTGGGGGAAACTTGGTTATATTACCGGTATGGAAATATTTACGAAGAAAAAAACATTATTCTAAGTTTTCTGAGGTTTCTCCTTGAGTTAATATTCATAAATTCATCTATATTAAATATAAATATTTGCTATTAACTTTTAAAACTTTTAGATTATACAAAAAAGGAACTTTGGCATACTCCAAACAAAATGACGCCTTAATCAGTCACTCCTGCCAGAATATAGTTTCTACTTTCACTAGTAAAAATTTAATCTTTAGTTCAATGGAGAAGCTCAAGTATCCAATAAAGTCGGATTTTTCAAACTATACACTATCATTTCGAACTATTGAAAACCTAATGCGCAGGTCATAGTTCTTTATGGAGTCTATTTTTTAAGGGTATTTTCCAGTGATAAAAAATAGTTAAAAATGCCAGCCCGACGATTGATTATTTTCTTTTTGTTTCCGAAACAATGGGAAGAGACATCAGCTGTGTCAACGTTTGATATTGACGGCATTTTTAAAATATAAAATATAACACAATAGCAAGCCTACCCCAAATTTAATGAAATGCGTTTGAACAAAAAATATCAAAAACTTCAAAAAATTTTTCGGTGAAAGTAAAGAAAATTGGTACAATGGCTGCATATATTCAAAACCATGCTGGCTCCATTTACTGAAAGTGTTTATATTTTAATTAGATCTCTCGAACAGTGATATTTCAAACGAACTGATAAGTTAATGAAGATTTACTCCTACTATGCCAACCTATTGTTAATAAATTATCGCATTGCCATTACATTGAGAACTCGGCTAATCTCCGGTTATATTTGAAGAAACTATGTCATTGCAACCAAATAAAAAAACAAGTCTTTGTAACGAATATCTAGACAAAATATTTTTTCTATACATATTACATCACATTACATGTAAGAGCTAAGCAGTAAGTTAAGTAGCCATAAACATAGTTTAAATCTGAAGACAATTAATTCTAAGCCATAATCTCGAATTTCAAAAACAAAATTTGGTATGTTCTAGTAAAATTACAAAAATAGTATTGAAATATATGAGCCACGGATTATCGAAAACAGGCAATACTTAAGATTTTCTGTTCTCTTACTATGATTAATTATATGGACATCGAAAAACGAATTAACGAAAAGCTATCGTAATAGTAAAATTATTCGTATACAAAACTGTTTATTACAGAATTGTAAGATTCAACCAGGAAGATACCAGCCAATGGCACTTTACAAAAGTTATTACATAGTTTAATGTCCTTTTATTTTTCTTTAACGTTCACGTTTTGTGTAGAAGGAATGAGAGTTAAAAACTCTATATTGACAATTTGTGGTGAACTTCTCAAAAATATTTTGTTTGGAGTTTCAAAAAGAGAGATCTAAGATATTTACTAACTTAGCTCAGATATGAAACAAATTGGCTTGACATCTATATAGAATGCTAGCACAAAATGAATATATCTTGAACGCAAAACAAACAGAAATATTAGCTAAATTTTAAGGATAGAGTGCACAAAAAGGGGAAAGGTATTCGAGTATTTGACGAAACAGGCTAGCATTTTAAGGCAACGCTTTGGTTTTGTATTTTAATATTGTATATTTGTATGGTTAGGTAAGGGTAGCTGGAAATGGGCCAAATTCAACACATGGTGAGCGGGCGAAAGAAAGGCACGTGTCAATGTATTGGTTAAAAATGGTGACGACGGAATTTTAGAGCAGGAAAGAGCACCTTCAATAGTGTAGAACGGGAACAGAAAATGATATAACTGCAGCATATTACAAAAAAATTGCAAACTGACTTGAACTATCTTAGGTTAAAAATAATAATATTTTAAGCGTACATTCGATGATGGTCAACAAGAAAGCGAATACGCTAGCTAAGGCAGCGGCGACGACGATGACGATACCGACATTGTGTGAATGACAGCAACGGCGACGTTGTGACTGGGTCGCTGCCTGTCCGTTACGTTACTAAGCACCTTTGGATATTTCAGGACAACGCGGGGGGGTTATGCCGAAAATGCCGGAATGGTATCTTGGATGAAAAGAGTGTTGACAAGTGGGACGAGATGCAGGTCATCGTGTAAGTTTCTGCATAATTAATTGTCTTTTTCGGTTAAAACTTGATCTAATTTTAGTTGCAGTTGAGTACTAATACTTAGTATTGCCACAATCGTTAGTATGAGACTTTGAGTTTTACCATAAAGTTTTTCAGAATTACTTTGCGTTTGCTCAATATTTCCACTTTCATTTATTTATTGTACTTTTTTTTGCGCAAAGACTGGATATTACTTATGTACATGCGTGTAAATTTCTTTGGCGATTTCCAATTTTCATTTAACTTTCGTAGCTGCGTTAAATTTATCGAGTAGCTGAGTAGCACCTGCCACAAAACTCAATGTTCACTAAAATAAACACCAACATTTTAGCACCATCAGCACCATCGCTATATTTTGTGTCGCAAAATTTGAAAACCCCTTTTTTAATTGGAATTATATAGCTATTCGCACACTACTTCACTTTATTTAACACACTTTCGAACTTGTTTACGGTTTTTGCACTCTTTTCATAATGAGCATAAGTGGAAATAAAATTTTCATACTTGCTCCACATTTTCAATATTTTTCATGTAGGTATAAGAATACTCCTCCGCCGTCGGAAGCGTCTCATACACCCTATTTCGTACACACACTTGGCTGCTGCCTATACTTCTTCTACTAATTTTGCTACTGCTCGTGCTGTGGCTGCCACTTTTCACTCCGGTAACACACAGCCCCAACCAAACATCCATGCACCCGTACACCACCCGCTGTCCAACTAACACTCTCTACGTGTATATTGAATTTTCCGTTTATAGCATAGAAAATTTTTTTCCAAATCACACACGAAATTCATTTCAAGATTTTTTCACATTTAACTCTATTTTCATAACTTGAATTTAACACACAAAGTTGAAGTTGCACTTGCTGTTTCTGCAGTTGCATACAATTTTCACTTTTATCCTAGTTTTACCCAATTTTTCTGAGAATTTTCCTAGAGCTATCAACGATTTTGTCTAACCATTCGGGGGAAAATTCAACGAACCTTACACTTCAACTTGGTCACAATGTATTACAAGCAGCTACATTACTGATATTACCGTTATGCATGTGTCGCTGTGTGCGTGTTTCTTGGCTGGCGTTTGCATGTGTGCGTCAGCCAGGCTAGTCAATGTCTGTTGGCATGTTTGTGCGCTATGCGCGCGTGAGCGACCTGGAAGGCCCCAAATAGAACGAAACGAACATATGGCACACGGCGCGGAAGCCTAGTGGATAACCAACTGGCCAAAACGTACACAAAGTATACGTATCCACTTTAAATGCAGCACTGTACGTCTTTTTTCTGCATTGTGCCGTTAGTAACGAGTCATCCCTGTCGCCCATACGGCCGTACCGTTACAATTCGAAAGGAAACAAGGAAGTGCGCCTGCCAACCCTCTTTGCGCAGGGTTCGTTTTGTGGCATTGCCAACGCTAAGTGGCGCTTATGTCAGTTTTGACGTTTCTTCTCGACTTCTAGGTATGCATGTGTATGTATATGTGGGAATTCGAGTGACGTTACGCTGTGGGGGAGAACGGAATGTGGGATAGAAGTTCACGTCACTACGGCTAATTGATACTTTAAACAAAGAGTTTTCCGCCGTAAAACATTAATAGACAATCTAATTCCATAAGCTTGCACTTTATTTCAATGACGACACATCTTTCAGATTAAACAGCACTTCTCAGAAAATCCTATACATATAATTTCACATTTTCTAAATAATTTTCTCGAATTGTTATACCTTGTCTCCTTTACAACTCACAAATAACTGTTTATCACTCTTTTCTACTGGAAATCGCTTTCCTATTTACTTGCTTCCATTCAACTTTTATTGTCATCATAAATCAGCGAAGCCTGATGACAATTTAATACAGAAGGTGGCGCTGTTTAAGTTAGGATTGTTTCCTTTCCTAATAATATAAACCAGATGGCGCTGTTACATATGTCCGAAAGCGGTTTTATTTTAAATACGAGGTGTGTACAGTGCGACACGGCAGTCAGAATGATTGTGTCAACAGTTCTTTCCCAGAAAAATCTAATGAATAGTTTGAATACTTTTGGTTTTTGAAGGAATTAAAGCAAAAGTTAACATAACCTAAAATAATATTGCCTATAAATTTACCATTCCTTATTAATCAAAGCTGTAGAACAAGAGTCCTTTTAGTTCCAATTACAAAGTCTATACGTCAATGGAATTTTAGGTACACCCAAATTCATCCAATGATCGCCAAACTGATCGAAATTAAAACAGTGTTAGCTAGTGTGGTAGGTGTGAGTCGACCACTCCTAACGCTTTGTTTGTAACACCAAAAATTAATTTAGGTACATATAGCGTCATATGTAGTATACCTATGTATATAAATGATCAGGATGACGTGTTGAGTTGATGACTGCTTGTCCGTGGCAAGCGATAACATAAGTAAACATTAGGATATAGTGATGAAACTAGGTAAACATGTTTTTTGGCACCAAGGAGAGGTTGGTATTGCAGATGGGCGGGATCGGACAACTTCCACGCAAACAAGATGCCATTAATAGATAACATATAAAGCTCCATAAATAAACTCCCCAATAAGATACACAAAAATTTTAATAAAGTTAGGTTTTTAAGAGCTGGTATCAAAGTTGAAGAATAGGCGTGACACTGCCTATCATAGATTAAAGCCCATACCTTGGGACTTGCTTGACCATTTACAAACAAATTAGCACTTCGTATCATTATTCTGGTGTCTAAATTACGGTGTGAAAATTTACGAAACATAACCACGCCTCTTCCAATATAACACAATTTTTAATTCCATATTATTCTTTCACTCAACCTCATAAAAATCAAGCCTTCCGATATCGAATATGTGGATCCCAGTGCCTAGGACTAACATTTTATAGAAAATATCGGTCAATGTATGACATATATATAGGGTGATTCATTTCGAGGTTCCTTACTTTATTAGAAAACAAAAACACATAAAATTTAAATTTTGTGGGGAATGTTTATTATTATTCGAAAGAACATTCTTTTTTTTTTTTGAATATTATCTCTTTCTAATCTTGGCTTTGTCTCAGATGGTCCATCCGCTGAACCCAATTTTCGATGACTCGTTTGAGCATTTCGACTGGTAATGGTCTGAATCGAAGCGGGATTGTCCGCATAGACTTTAGACTTTTCATATATCCACAGAAAAAAGTCGAACGGTGTGATATCACATGATCTTATTGACATCGACCGGCCCAAAACGTGAAAACATCTCCTGACCGAAGTGTTCTCTCAATAAATCCATTGATTAATGCGATGTGTGGGAAGTGTCGCCATTTTGTTGAAACCAAATGTCTCCGAGATCACGAGCTTCAATCTCAGGCATCAAATATTGACGGTTACGTTCTCACATCACTTTTGAAAAAATATGGACCGATGATTGCACCGGCCCACAAACCACACCCAACCGTTGTTTTATAAATGAAATAACAGCTCTTGAATCACTTCAGGTTACATTGAAGCAGAAATGGGCCTCATTGCTGAACAAAATTTGGCTCGAAAACGTCGGATCTTCTTGGAACTCTTCAAGAGCCCATAGAGCGAAGCGATGTCGTTTGGTAAGATCGAGCGGCTTCAGTTCTTGCACAAGTTGTATTGTATGTATATTGTTGTATTTTTGCGCTTTCAATTTAAGATCTCGACGTAAAACAATCGAGTCAATATTCCTCCTTGCCCTTATATGCCTAATATAAAGATTTTTGAACTTCCAGTTTACTTTATACCTAATATAAGGTTTTTAAACTTTCGTTTGGCTTTTTACAATAGACTTCAAGCCGTTTATGTTGGTCACTATATGTGATATTTCAAAGTTTTCATCAACATAGTGCGATCTAGTGCGCTGAATATGAATGAAATTGGTCTAGATCATGGGCCCTTATCCCCAAGGTTGATTTCAATACCAATATTTTAATCCTTTCATCCTTTCATTGAATAATTATTTCATATCAAGTTTTGCCAAAATCTGCAAATATTTCCCGGCTTTGATCCTTGCGAGAGTATAAAATGTTCAGTTATACCCGAACTTAGTCCTTATTTACTTGTCAATAATAAGGTACAATTGATTTTGAATGATTGAAAATAGGTCAAGCAGCTAATGAGTAGGCTTGGTAAATACCTGTTTTCACGAATTTTTACCTCATATCATGAACTGCAATGTTCGTGCCAACATAACGAATTCAACGTAGTATTAAAAATAATTAATTTAAGGGTATCAAGATAACACATCGGTATACAAGTATATAGGAAATTAACATAGTAGTTTTCATGAAACGTGTTCTTTAAATTATTTCCTAGCCTTTTTGTTGAAAGCAAAATCACAACTTAAACGCAACTAGCCATTTCATACATTTTTAGTGGGCAAAAACCATAAATCGCTACAATTTTCCAATAACTTTAAATAAAAATTAAAAATCAGAACATCAATGGTTGCAGGCATTTCGTACTTTGTACTTTGAGCTCTTCCATAGTATTGGACTTGTGTAAGACTTGCGTATGCATATTAAAGTATATGACAATAATTAAGTTACAAAGTTACGTCTGCTATATTTGATTGCTTTTTTGTTGGGATGCTTTATACTCGAGTCTATGTTTTATACCCTTTGTCTACGAGCTGAATCGATGTAGCCATGTCCGTCTGCCTTCCCGTCTGTATATACGCAAACTAGTCCTTCAGTTTTAGAGATATCTATGTGAAAATTTACACACGTTCTTTTTTCCCCAAGAAGCTGCTTATTTGTCGGAACAGCCGATATCAGACCACTATAGCTGCCATACAATGTGAACTATTGAAATAAAGTGCTTATACGGAAAGCTTTTTCATTTGACGTTATATTTTCAAGAAATTTGCAATGATTATTGTCTATAGAAATGGAGCAATCTCCAAAGAAATTGCTTATATGGAATAATTTCAGACGATAGCCCTATTTTTCAGCAATAGAAAATCACTATAGTCAGTGTGTCGCACTGGATAGCCGTTATAATGTACTATGATGTTTTAAAACTAAAATCACGATATTATAGACAACATGCAGCACTAAATTAACTGCGATAAGCTCTAACATTCGCCTGCGTCCAAACTTAACCCTTCTGTACGTAGTAATTTAGAAATTGGTGCATATTCAATATTTTAATATGAAGTATGAATTCGAAAACGTATTCCATAAACTCTTATCATTCACGCTTTTGACAAGTGTTTACGTCTATGCCAACGGAATTAGAACCATTACAAAACAATATTTTCTTAGTCGAAATTAAAGTAGAAAGTAAAATGTTCAATAATTTATAATAAAAATAATAACTTACATTATATCTCCTAATTTCAGTCTCGTTTGTATAAGAGCACAGCTTTTGTGGTCACTAGTTGTTACGGCGCGTCTGCGCCTCGGTGGTATTTTTGGCACATATTGCGTATTATACATGCCGATGCTACCGGGGCCTCCGCCACCACTGTCTTCTAAGCTTGCTGTCAACATGCCGCCACTTATACGCACCATTGGCGATGAACCTCTTCGTCGATTCGACATGTGACGTCCGGCAACACCTCCCAACATTCTGTAAAGAAATTTTACATTAATAGTAATACAATTTATTCAGAAAACGGTGTTTTAATATACCATATTTAAATAATATCCTTACATAATTATGATAGGGTTATTTATCTTATCTTTTCTTATTTCAAACTATTTGCTACAATGGAATAAGTTCCTATTAGGATTATACTGGAGTTTTCGACTTGGCTTTTTGAAAAGGCCAATTTGTTACTGATACCGCATTAGGTATCTTAGTAAAAAATTAGACGCTCTATGTCAAGCTATTTTTGTACCTATCATATATGTATGTGGTATTTTTCAGAAAAATTAAATGAATTTAAAATGCCCTATTAAATAAATTCGATTATCTTTGATAAAACGAATATTTATGAATGATTTAATCGGTCAAGCTAAGTTTACTATAATTACTATCATTGATATTGATAAAAACCGGCAAACGAGGATG